CCTTAGACAGGGTTGCTATGAGTCAGAGTTGACTCAACGGCATACAACAACAACAACGTATGGTAATAGCATGCATATCTTTTTAAGGTTCTGTCAGGCGTTGTCCGTAACTGCTGCATCATTCTATGTTCAGGGTGGGCACTTTTTATTTTGAGATGTCTGGTGCCCAGAATTGTTGTTAGCCTGTCAGTGAATGATTGTTGAACAGAACTTTGTTCAAACTGCCCCCAGGTTTGAAATTTGAAGATGCCTCTTTTGAGAATTTGAGAAAGGCTTTCTGGGACAGAAGGAAAAAAATGATAGCGTTTCAGCAGAAGTTTATTACTTTTTAGAAAAAATATCCCTGTGATTAGTCACAAGCTGATTTTAGTAAACCCAGTTTACAAGTATCAGTATGCCTGCGTGACTGAACTGTGCTTATTTGCTTATTGAATTTTCTAAATGTGCTCAGATTAAAGCTGGCATTGTTACCCAGTTACAATGACACTTTGAATCACGTGGTCTTGTCTGCACACGGTACAAGCGTGTGCTCTTGTTTTTGTTTTTTATAGCTGCTGATTTTGTCCATTTTTTTGCTGTTTCAGATATACACAGCTGTGATACCATTTGTGAACCTATGTAAGTAACTTTTTTGGAGAACGAAGTCTTAACTAAAGGGAAAGATTTTACAAACCATTTTGTTGTTGTTATTTATATAATCTAAGAAACGTTGCAGTTAAACAATTTACGTCTCTAGAAGTCCAGGTGTGGGGCTGTGGGTTAATGCGCTGGGCTGCTGCCCCTTTGAACAGCAAAGTCGGCGGTTCAAGCTCACCAGCCGCTCCTTGGAAACCCTATGTAGGGTCGTTACAGGTTGGAACCCACTGGATGGCACTTAACAACAACAACAACAACATTGATTGCATATTATCTTATGATTACAATTGATAATAAACATTGCTAATGATGCTGATGTGGCACTGTGAGATAAACACTGGATTACTAACTGCAAGGTCGGTGGTTCAAACTCACCAGCTGCTCCTGGGAAACCCTATACAGGGTTATTGTGAGTCGGAACAGACTCTAAGGCACTTGAACAAGAATTCTGTGTGTTATGGTAAGGGAGGGAGTCCATGGGTGGGGAGGCGACACCGTAAGTTACCACATTGGGTAGCACCTGCCCTAGTAAGTTGTTGACATCCTGAAAGCAGACATTCTTTACTTTTTGTTGTTGTTAGGAACCATCTAGTCAGTTCTGACCCATAGCAACCAACAGACCCAGAGACTACCCGGTCCCGTGCCAGCCTCACGATTGCTGCTACACTTGAGTCCACTGCTGCTGCCACTGTGCCAATCCATCTCATTGGGGCTCTCCCTCTTTTTCACTGACCCTCCACTTTACCAAGGTAAACTATTGTTTGGTTTAAAGACTTTGTTGTTGTTGTTAAGGGCCATCGAGTCAGTTCTGACTAATAGCGACCCTGTATAGGGTTTCCAAGGAGCAGCTGGTGAGTTTGAACTACCAACCTTGCAGTTCAAAGTGACCTTGGGGTCCAGTGCATTGTCTCACAGTGCCACACGAAGACTCCTTACAGACTTTGTTATATTGTTGTTACTACTGTCCAGTTGGTTCTGACTTAGAGTGAACCTGTACAGGGTTTCTGGGGAATAGTTAGTGAGCTTGAACCATTGATCTTGTAGTTCCAACCGACTTTGAAGCCCAACTGATTAACCCACAGCATCAGACTTTAGGGGATTTTGGTTTTTTTCTGTCTTAAATAAAATAATACTGTGAGTTTGGTGAAGGTTTACACAGCATTTCAGATTTCCATTCAACAATGACTGTGTAAATTGTTCAGTGAGATGGCTTCCATTCTTCACATTCCATGACATTTTCATTTTTCAGTTCTGGTTGGTCTCTTTCCATTAACCTAGTTTTCCTGCCCTCTTACATTCTCATCTGTATTTTCAAGTAGTTGTTCACCATTCTTGGACATTCGGTCTCATATAGGTAATTTTTTTAAAAAGGAATGTAGTATTTCATTATTTTTAGAGCAAATTTGTTATTTAGCTAGAAGATGACCTCAGAAGTCAGTTCTGGTTCAAGGTTTTAGGAATGTATCTGGGCCATAGACTCAGGGAGTTTTCCAGTCTTGACCAGAACTGGAGATCTGTTTTCGTTTATTGTTGTCGCTTTTTAGAAATTTCCAGTCTGTTCCACATTTTTCTTTCCTTCTATTGTATTCCTTCATGTATTATAGATAGCCCTGAGGAGAATCATTAGTGATGACAGCTGGTACTACTCTGGTCTCAGAGTAGATGAAGCCAGGGTTCATGGAGACGATTTAGCCTGTAGATTAGTTTCCTCGTTTAATCTTTGATTTTTTTTCCCTTTTGCTCTGGAGAAAATTCAAGCTTCCAATGTGGTCTTTGGCACTCTACACATTTTCCAGAGGTGCTATAGGACTCAGATTAGCAAAAAAGAAGGTGCTGAGTGGGTGGGCTTGTCTTTCAGACCCCAAGGAGGGTCATATAGTATTTATCTGCTTTATAGATTAGTCACCTGTTTAAAAAGGAAAGGAGAAAGTTCCATTATTACAAAGGGTGAAACACAGCTGTGTTGGCTGGCTGGGTCAAGAAGTTTGATCCTTTAGGGGATATTTTTAGTTTAAGGTTAATCCTCCCATTTGTGACCCTAAATAGCGTGATCAAAATTGTTGTTGTTGTATTAGGTGCCATCGAGTCGGTACCAACTCATAGCGACCTTATGCACAACAGAATGAAACATTGCCTGATCCTGGGCCAACCTCACAATTGTTGCCACACTTGAGCCCACTGATGCTGCCACTTGGCAAATCCATCTCGCTGGGGGTCTTCCTCTTTTTCTCTGACCCTCTATCTAACCAAACATGATATCCTTCTCTAGCGACTGGTCCCTACTGACAATATATCCGAAGTATGAGAAACGAAGTTTGGCCATCTTGGCCTCCAAGGAGCATTCTGGCTGCACTTCTTCCAAAATGGATCTATTGGTTCTTTTGGCAGCCCACGGCACTTTCAATATTCTCCTCCAACACCATAACTCAAAAGCATCAATTCTACGGTCTTCCTTATTCACTGTCCAGCTTTCGCATACATATGAGGTTATTGAAAATACCATGGCTTGGGTCCGGCGCACCTTAGTCCTCAAGCTGACACCTTTGCTGCTCAACACTTTAAAAAGGTCTTGTGCAGCAGGTTTGCCTAACGTACGTAATACACCGTTTACTTGCAATACGTCGTTTGATCAGAATTAGGGTGGGGCAACTACATGAAAGGGTTAGCTGGGTTGGACCCAATCTTTATTTTCAAATGTGATATTTTACTCATCATGAATTTTTTTGGCATTAATTTAGATTTTTAAAATATTGCATTAAAATACTATTTATCATGATTACTGAAGTTTTGTTGTTGTGGGTTCAAACTCATAGTCTGTTCAAACTCATAGGGATCCTGTTTCCAAAAGTGGCTGGGGGATGTGAACTGTGGACTTTGCAGTTACCAATCTAGTGCTTATCCTATGGCACACTGAGGTTTTTTTTCAGCACCCACTAAAATTTTGGTTTTTGAGGGGTTTTTTTTAGCGCCCACTATAATTTTGTGCCCATGGTGAGTGCTTTAGCTGATCCTGCTAAACTGTCCAGACAAAGTGGCTTCTTGTTGTTAAATGCTGCTGAGTTGGTTTTGATTCACGGTGACTCTGTAGAGTTTCCAAGGAGTCGCTGATGGGTTTGAACCACTGACTTTGCAGTTCAAACTGACCTAGCGGTCCAGTGCTTATCCTACAGGGGAAGGTAATTCCACTTATCTTTGGCATCGGTTTCCCTCTGTGAAATTGGGAGGTAGGAATCCAGGGTTCCAACTGGCCTTGAAAAACCGAACACAATTTATTTATTGAAGGATAATCGTTAGTTAAAAAAGCCATGGTGGCACAACAGTTAAGCACTTGGCTGCTAACCCCTGGTCTGCCCTTGCAGACTGCAGGGTAGTTTACCAGATGGGGCAGTTCTACCCTGTCACATGGGGTCCCTACAAGTCATCAACCCACCTACCAGCACCCAACAACTCATTGAAGTGGGTGAGTTTTCATAAAGGGAACCCAGCCATGTACCCAGCCTCAGATCGAGGGGAGGCATTTACCAGCCCCCACTTCCCTGCGGCTCCTGGGGTCCCCACCCCGTGGCCCCCACGTGCGTGATTTATAACAGCTGGTTTTCCTGCCTTTTACATGGTGGTCCTCAGCATGCTGAGTGACTGTAAGAGAGGCAGGCAGGGAAGTGGGTTCCAGGAGTTACACCCCTGAGCCCCAAGTTGTGCTGGGAGACCCCTCAAACAGCGACCTGCATCCCCAGGACTGGAATTGCACGCAGAAGCTGCCCAGGACTCGCTGGATAATGGGCAGGTCACCTCTCTCTGTGCCTCAGTTTCCTCTCCTCTCAAATGAGAGCTAACTCCTTTAAGTCCAAGGACAGAGACCTAATGAGACTTCTTAAAAACCTGAGGGGAAAAAAAGGAAAACTAAATCAATAGCTTTGTTCTCGTTTTTTGTTTTCCTTTCTTTGCATTTATTTTTTGTTTTCTTTTTTCACCCTGTTCTTTGCTCCTGGGTCTTTGCTTGTTTGTGTTCCCTTAGTCTCTCTTCATTCCTTTCGGTCACTCCTCCACTTTTCAGGGGCCAGCACCCGGATCCCTCCCCCCGCCCCGCGTCCCGCCTTCCGACAGTCCCTGTAGTCTACACAAAGGTAACGTCCTGACCGCTCGGCGCCACCCCGCCCTTGCTTGCCCAGGCTCCATCCACCGTCTTCATTGGCCGGAGAACTCCAGGGGGCGGGTATGTGGGCCGGGCCTTGGTGAACTCGTCCCGCCCCTGCCTTCCCGGCCTCACGCCGCCGCCCCCATTGGCCGGGAAGCACTAGGGGCGGGTCCGCCCCCGCAGCGAGCCCGCCCCCCCGAGACACGCCCCCTCCCTAGGGCCGCTCTCGCAGTCCGAGCTGAGCAGCTGGCGGAGCAGAGCGGAGCGCCAGGTAGGGAGGCTTTGGGAGGGTTCCTGGAGGGCCCCCGAGGCCCAGGAAACTGCCGGGATAGGGTGTCGGCCGCTGTGCTCACACTTAAGCCTTTGCTGGGGCAGCTGGAAGGTGGGCAGGGGAGCGCTAGGCCCCGGAGCCCCGCCTGCCACCGGGCCTTCGGAGAGAGGCGGCAGTAGCCCCGGGAGTGGGCGTGGCCGCAGCTGGAGAGACTCGAGCCGACCGCGGGCAGCACTTTCCGCCGGTCGGCCACCTGTTTTGTGCGTGCCTGAAAGCCATGCCTCCGGCTCCCGCGTCCACCCGCAGGCTAGACGGTCGTGGGAGGACTCGGGGTGCTGGGGGCTCAGCGATAGGACGGGGGGCGGGGAGAACACTGCCATGGAGCCCGGCGATTGGCCGCATCTGGGGGAGCGCTCGCCGGAGAGTTTGCGCCGGGATGGGGGACCCTTCCAGCCACACCCCACCCGGAGGCGGCGGAGGTAAATTTCACAGGCTTTTGCTGTCCCCCCACCCTCAGAATTTGGAGGACGGAAAGGCAGCGGTTTTTTTTTTTTTTATTTTCAAAAGAAAGCTCCTAGCCCCACTGCTTTTCTGGGGTTGGAGTGGCTTTGTGTGCGTTTTCGGGGGCGAGGGCAGAGATAAGCTCTTCCACGCGGGGCCCCCTCTTCCAGTTGTCATAGTTACAAAATAAGAGCCCTTGTAGCCTCAGTCTCCTCATCCGTACTAGTTGCGCAATGGTTAAGCGCCCGACTATAACCTAAGGATTGGCGGTTTGAACACAGCCAGTAGCCCCATGGGAGAAAGACCTGGCGATCTGCTTCCGTAAAGATCGCAGTCTGGAAAACCCTGTGGGAAGACCAGACTTACTGGTCTGGTGGAGACGGGTGGAGCCTCCGACACTGTGGCCCTTAGACAACCTTCAAATCTGGAAGAGAGCCCTCTTATGGGCTCACCTTGCAGCCAAAAAACAGTGAATAAGTACCACCTGTGAGGAACTAGCTCCTCAGTACAATCAACCATGCGGGGGCGTTTACCCAAAAGCAAACCTGGAAGACAGAAAAGAACGTCTAATGGAAACGAGGAACGGTGTTAACATTGAGGGGGTTGCATCTAATGTCGCAAAAGACAATGTGGTGAAATATTGAATGGGAAGTGATTTGCTTTATAAACTTTCATCCAATCACAATAAAAACAAAAACCCTAATTAGGGTGGTATGAGGGTGAGAAATAGAAAAATTGCTCTTTTTCTATTTCTCATTTCCTTTGCTCTCCAATCTGTTCTCCACTCCCAAGCCAGAGAGAACTTGTGAAAACACAGTTGGTTCTCATCAAGCCCCTGCTTAAGTATTTAAGAGAAAACCATTTGCTTGGGTTTTCACCAGCTTGCTTCCTTCTTTGTCCTACGATTCCCTCTGCTGGGAATGACCTCTCCCACAGGGTAGTGGTTTATGAAACAGGCTAAGAACCTCACAGTCAGCAGTTTGAAACTACCAGCAGTTCTGCGGGAGAAAGGTGAGGCTTTCTGCTCCCCTAAAGATTTACAGCCTCCGAAACCCTGTATAGGGTCACTGTGAGTCGGAACCGACTCCACGGCACATATAACAACACAACCCTTGAAATAAAAAAACAACCACCACTGCCATCAGGTTGAATCAATCTCATAGCAACTCTATAGAATAGAGTAGAACTGTTTGGGATTCCAAGACAAACTTCAGGGGAACCTGCAGCCTCTTCGTTCTCCTGTGGAGCAGCTGGTTGATTTGAACTGCCAGCCTTTCTGTTAGCAGCCTGAGTCATTCTCTAAGACTCAACACCTGCTCCCCGGCATCCCCCTGCTCTAGTGCTCAGTGGTCTAGGTTCCCAAAGCTGGCCTGTCACTCCCGGACTCCAGCCTCCCAGGTGTACTAGGAGGGGTGTAAATGGTCTAACCTAGGCCCGTGGGGAAGATACTGGGGTCCCAGGTTGGGATTGAAGGTGTGTTGTTGGGAGGAAACATCTTTCTTTGTCCTCCAACCAGCTTCAGGTCCAGTGGCTGGCAGAGCCTTTGTGTCAGTCAGTAGGACAGGAATGAGAGGAAGGACTTTTCCGGAGGCTTCTCCCTGGTTCATCCCCCCTCCCAGTCTCCCCCTCCCCCCCACACAAACACACATGGTGGCATAACGTGGTTCATTGAACCCACAGTGCATTCAACAATGCCACCCTGGGACGTGGGTGACGTTCCAGGGACCCATTTGGCAGGTGAAGAAACTGAGGCGTGGAGCAATGAGGTCACTGTCCAGGGGTCACAGAATGGGCGAAGGTTACGTCAGAGCCTCGAGTGACTGAATTGAGAAGTGCTGTTGAGTCGGTTCTAACAGTGACCTGTATAATAGGGTTTCTGAGGAGCGGCGGTGAGCTTGAACCGCTGACCATGCAGTCCAGCGCAGTAACCTGAGGTGGTCAAGTAGGCTAGCTAAGAACGAGGATTTGGGCCCACCCCCCGGAGGAAGGGTGCTCAGTCTGGTCATTCCGACCTAGGAGGGGCGGGCCTTGCCGGGCTGCTCTGGACACAGGTTGGAGTGCTCAGACCACTTCCCGTTGGGCCAGCTCTCGAGTTTCCGGCCTCTCTTCCCAGCACTCCCGGGCTGCTGGGGGCGGGAGCGCTTCCCGGCCGAGCCTGGGAGGGGGCTCGGCTGAGCCGCTCCTGCCACGTGGACTTGCATTTCTAGCGGACCCGTGCAGGGGGCTCTGGGTCTCTCTGTGTGGATTGTCCGCTCTCCCCAGGCCCCTCCTTCTTCTTTCCCCTTCCCAGCCTCTCATCCCCCCTGTCCCGGGAGACCCCCACTCTTTACTGGGAACAATGGAGGGACATGTGGCCTAGGCCTGCCCGGGTGTTTCAGCCTCCCCTTTCTCCTTGGCCAGCCTGCCAGCCTCACCCCTAGCCCATGTGCGGGGGCGGGGGGGCGGGGCTGGGGGGGGTCACTTATGCCGGGCTAAGGAGCATAGTGGTTGTGAATTGGGCTGCTAATTTCAACGTCAGCAGTTTGAAACTACTAGCCATTCCGTGTGAGAAAGATGAGGCTTTCTGCTCCCTTAAAGATTTACAGCCTCAGAAACCTTGTGCAGGGTCGCTATAGTCAGAATCGACCCCACGGTACTTAACAACAACAAGGTGCAGCTGAGCTGGGATGTGTATGGCACTCCTGCCTCAGTTTACAGTGTTCACTAGGAAGCATAGTAGCCCCACCCCCGTTTCTCTTCCACTCTTGCGCTAGGTTACAGCCCAGCACTGGCTGCCACATGGGCAGTTAATCTGTTTAGTAACCTTATCCACACCCACCACTGGCTGGATATGTAGAGTCTTGGAGTCCACCTCAGACCTTGTAATGGAGTCTGCATTTTCAGTGTCCCCAGAGATTCAGAGCACAGAGAAGAGTGCCTTAGTTCCCTCCTCTGTAAAATACAGGTTATCAAAGAATCCTAGGCTGGGCTTGGATTCCTGGAGTTAAGGTTTGTACCACCTCACAGAAAGAAGTTACTGGGCAGTGGGTACTCCTCACTGTCCCTCCCACCCCAGGCTAATGCTCATTTCCAGCCCTGGCTGGGATCTGGGGAAGAGGGTGCTTAACTCTGACCTTCCCCAGTCAGCAGCTTGCTTTGCAGAGGAGACTTGGAGAGATTGTGGATCTTTGTAACTTGCCCCCTGCTCCCCACCTCTCTGCTTCAAGGAATGGTGTGAAGCTACTAGGGTTGGAGCTTTGGGGATGGACTACAAACTCTCACTAAGGTGTGAATGGCTGATAGCAGTGCCTTGGCCCCCAACTCCTGGCTCCGAAGAGGCTCATCCTGGGTATGGGTCTAGTTTCAGGCAGAGAAGGCAAGAAGGGAGATGGGGGAGTGGTACTGGAAGGGTGGGTAACGGGGCTCTCGAGGATTCAATTCTGAGCACCCTTTACGGGAGAGGTTATGAAGGCCAGTGTCCTCATTCCAGAACCTTCCAGGAGACCTGCAGGGCCGGTGGAAAATTCCCAGGCTATTTTGGGCTGAGGTCCCTTCTCTGGTTCTTTCCCAGGCTGGAAGGCACAGGGCCCTGCTGCATGCCTCCCTCAGGGAGTGGGGTGCAAATGATTTCCTGACTCCCCTCCCACCAGGGCCCCCTACCCTGGCCAGGCACTAGTCAGATAGGGGTCTGGGGGGGCAGGGAGCACAGCTAGGTGCTCACCTCCTCCAGTGGACCACCTGCTTTAAAAATGTAGCCCTTTACCCCACAGTCCCCATTCCTGCATTCTTTTCCTCTCACTTTCCACTAATGGGTGAGCCTGGGAGAGGTACTTGGCATGTGGGTCTCAGTTTCCCCATCTGTTAAGTGGGTTGCAGCAGGCCATGTCTCAACTCCCATCACTTCCTGTTCTCCATCATTGGCTTCATAACTGCCCCATGAATGGGAGGTGGACATCCAGTGGGCTCCATTCCAGGTCCTCCGGAGAGCTGTGTGTGTGAACACAGATGTGTGTGGACAGATGTGCACCTGCTTGTACGCACGCGAATGTGGCTGAATGCCTGAACACAAGACGAACAGTAACTGGGACCCGGGCTTGGGCTGGGTTTGCCTCTGAGTCTGCTGTTCCCAGAGGCCCATGGGGTGTGGCCTAGAGCTGCCTGCTAAGGGCAGTCAGTGGGTGCACTGGTGTGTGTGTGGGCACAGATGGCAGGCCCTGGTGTTGCTGGGATAGCGGTGCTCCTTGCCTGGACCATGCCAGGAGAGCAGCAGCTGGACTTTTCCCCAGCCCTCTCCCTCCTCAAGGGCTTTGAACTGGTTCATTCTGGTTTGATCTACTGAGTACTTTTCCTTTCCATATATACATAGGTGCGCACACACACATGCGTCTCTTGGTGTGGCGCTATGGGCTAATGCGTCAGACTGCAGAGTCAGTTTGAACTGCAAGATCGGTGATTCAAGTTCATCAGCTGCTCCTTGGAAACCTTATACAGGGTTGTTATGGGTCAGAATCGACTCGATGGCACTTAACAACAATATATATATACAACGCAATATATATAATTGTGTACTGTAAATCTTTGCAGGAGTTGAAAACCTCATCTTTCTCCCATAGAGCTGCTGGTGAGCTTGAACCACTGACCTTGTGGTTGCTTCTGACTCATAGCGACCTTGTATAGGGCTTCTAAGGAGCAGCTGGTGAGTTTGAACCGCTAACCTTGCGGTCCAGCACATTTATCCAGAGCTCCCCACCAGGACTCCGTGATGCTGCTACTGCATGCTTTGGGAGCAGGCCCTCCTCCTTCCCATCTCATCTCCTGCCTTGTCTCCAGGACCCACCATCGACCCCCTCAGTCACACCCTGGTCATCACTAGCTTCTGGACTCCCCCTGCCCCCCGCTGCGCCCCTGCCGTGTTTCTTTTCTCATCATTCGGGGTCCAGCTGGCGCTTTCACTGGAGTGGCACACCCCTTCTGTGACTTCATTCTCCATTTGGTAATCTGTAACGATCTGGTGCATCTATCTGTTTGCTTGCCTGCTTATTTTCTGGCTCCAGGTTCAGCCCTGAGTCCACAGTGCCACAAACAAGGCCTGCCACAGATATGTGTCTCTGTATTCTTTGATGGAGATTATAATAACCATGTTGTTGTTGTTATTAAGTGCTGTCCAGGAGGGGTCTGCCTCTTTGTCGTTGGGTGCCATCCACTTGGTTCCGATTCAGCGACCCTGTACACCTCTGAGTGAAACACTGCCTAGTCCTGCTTCACAGTTGTTACTACACTTGGGTCCATTGCTGCAGCCACTGTGTCAGTCCATCTTGCTGGACGTCTTCTCTTTTTCACGGACCGTCCACTTTACCAAGCATGATGTACTGCCTCCTGATAACATGTCTGAAATCTAAGAGATGAAGTCTGGCCAGCCCGACTTCTAAGGACCATTCTGATTGTACTTCATCTAACACACAAATTTGTTTGGTTCTTTTGGCAGTCCATGGTACTTTTTAATATTCTTCTCCAATACCATAACTCAAATCCATTAATTCTCTGGTCTTCCTTATTCATTGTCCAACTTTCACGTTCATATGAAGCTATTGAATGCATATGGCTTAGGTCAGGCTCACCTTCGTCCTCAAACTGATATTTTTGCTCTTGGATACTCTACAGAGGTCTTGTGCAGCAGATTTGCCCAGTGCAATACTGCTGCTTCCACGAGTGTTGTTAGTAGAACCAATCAAAATGAAATTTTTGACAGTTTCATTTATGTTGACTTTGTTTATTGGTTCAGTAGTGAAGGTTTTCATTCTTATTTTTATATTAAAGTGCTGTGGCCTTTGATCTTTGCTTTGTTATCAAGTATTTTATGTCCTCTTTGCTTTCAGCAAGCAAGGTTATATCTGCCATCTTCTGGGTCTGACTCATAGCAACCCTGTATAGGGTTTCTAAAAGCAGCTGGTGGATTTGAACCGCTGACCTTGTGGTTAGCAGTTCAGTTCTGGGAGAAGGAACCCTGGTGGCACTGTGGGTTAAGTCGTGTTGGGCGCCTATGTGAGATCAGTGGTTCAAACCACAGGAGAAAACTTGGGCTGTCTGCTCCCATAAAGATTTAATCTAGGTAGCCCTGGGAGCCCTTGTACCCAGTACTTTCGGATCACTCACTATGAGTCAGAATCAACTCAACGGAAGTGAGGGTTTTTGGGGTTTTTTTTGCTTGTTCTGGGCAGGGGTGTGCTGCCAAGTGTGTAACTTGTTAGCCTTTCATTTCCCCTTCATGACAGTGGTGCGTGTTAGGAACTGCTACAGTGCCCATTTTCCAGATGAGGAAATCAAGGCCCAGAGAGGTTAAGTGACCTGCCCAAGGTCACACAGCTGGCAGGCAGGTGGGGTGATTTGAAGTCTGAAGTGCTTGACTGTTGAGGACAAGCAGGAAGGGGACGCCTTACTGTCCTGTCCTGCTTACCTTCCTGGGAGGCCTGGGTGGGACCCTCCTCTCGCTGGGCCAGCCCTCTGCCTAGAACTCCAGGCCTCAACATTCTAGGACTCTTATGACTTATGTGCTAGGTCATGTTAGAGTCTTGTCTCCAGCTGGGCAGCCGGGGACCTGTATGAGGTGGGGGCTCCCTGGCGGTCTGCCCTGACCGCAGCTGAGCGAAGGGACAGGAGGTAGCTATGTGGTGTCCTCCACAAGGCCAGCATGCCACCTCCCTTCCCAGCCAGACAGAACTGAGCTCTGATGGGAGTGTGGGAAAGTGTGGAGGGGGGTTTGCCCTTGGGGCGGACTCAGCCAGGCTCTGGGGTCCTGGTGGGGAGCAGTGGGGGCGTTGCTAGGTGATCTCAAGTGCCCCGAGGCCCTAAGGTTACTGTGAGTGGGGGCCCTGGGAGGTCAGCACACTAGGGGTTGAGGGTGGTCAGACTTTTGGGTTTTTTAGGGAGATCTGTAAATTGGGAGCTTGAGGTCCTGTAGTTGACCATTTACATTGAAACATTGTGACCAAATCCAGCGGGCTGGGTGGAGAAAGTCCAGTGTCCTTGAGCTGTCCCATGTTTAGCTGTGGCCCTTGCCTCGAGGTAACCTTGATTGGGCTGTGAGCTCAGATGTCTCCCTGCCCTGGACAATGATGTGTCCCCTTTTGCAGCCCTGAGCAGACTGTGTGACATCCACCTGGCCACCCCATCTCATAGCCCCCAGAGAACAAGACCTCCCCTGGACCTATGTGGGTCCATGTGACCCTGAGCCAAAGCCATGTGATCCGCGTTCATTCTCTTGGTGGCTGCCGGGCAGCCTGAGAAGCCCTCCCCACCAACCACTCTGGAGGGAGGCCCTGGGCTGGGTGGACATGCCCTGAGTGTCCCTTTGAAATGTTCCCTGGCCCCTTGGGTGCCATATGACAGCCCTGCGGGACCCAGAGCTCGGGGTGGAGCTTGTCTTTGGATTGTGTCCCGGAGCCTCATGGAGGCGCCCACTGTACTCTACTCCTATTTCACCCTACCCCAGGTTGTGGGCACCCAGCGCCCTCAGGACTGTCTAAGGGTCTTCTGCCTGTCCTTCTTCATTCCTCCCCCTCCTACTTCTCCCCCTCCTCCCTCCTTCCCTTCACCCTCCCACAAATCTGCACTAACCGCTGTACTAGGGACGGACAGAGGGACCCCATGCCCGGGTCCTGGGGCAGCTCTGGCGTTCCCATGAGAAGCTCTGATATGGGGGTGCCCGTGACTGCCCACAGCCTGGCCCCTGAACCCTGTTTCTCTCCAGATCAGCCATGTCATCCGAGCCTCCCCCACCGCCGCAGCCCCCCACCCACCAGGCTTCAGTTGGGCTGCTGGAAACCCCGAAGGGCCGGGATCGCTCTCCATCCCCACTGCGGGGCAACGTGGTCCCCAGTCCACTACCCACTCGCCGGACGAGGACCTTTTCTGCGTGAGCCTCAGGCTGGGCTGGGAGTGGGGAGCTTGGGGGTGTGTCCTGAGAGGGGTCTCCTCCCCAGGGCTGAGATTCACTGTGTCTGACCAGCTCCTGGTCTCAGCGTCACCTGGGGAGTCCTGGGAAGGGTGGGGGTAGGGAGGTACTTTGTGAATTCTGAGGGCACTGGGTTGGGGGAGGGGCGGGTGTCACAGATGGGAGACTCCTGGACTCTCAAAACCACCAGCCTTTACTCACTCACAGCCTTTCCCTTAGGGACACCCATGTCCTCAGCTGCAAACTGGGCATGGTGGCAGGTGGCCTGGGCATTATAGTGGAGTGGTCAGTGCCCATCGAGTCTGACACTGCCTGGAGGCGGGGGTGAGGCTGTTACCCTCACGGAAAGTTGCTGATACAAAGCCCCCTCGGGTGCTCAGACATGTTTCAGTCCAACACCCTTTCCAAATGGGGAAACTGAGACCTAGAAACTTGCCAGCGTTGCCCAGAGAGTCGATCTGACAGAGCTGGGGTCTCTGGGGTCTCTGGAAATGACTCCCAGGGTTGCGCAGTGCACAACCTCCACAGCTGTTTATGGTATCTATGACCAGAACTTCCCGGGCCACGTCTGTGGGTTGAGAGTGTGTGGCTGTGTTGCGGGGCTGGCATGGCATGCGGGGTCTCTCACACCTCTCCCCTGTCAGGACTGTGCGGGCTTCCCAGGGCCCCGTCTACAAGGGAGTCTGCAAATGCTTCTGCAGATCCAAGGGCCATGGCTTCATTACCCCAGCCGACGGCGGCCCCGACATCTTCCTGCACATCTCCGAGTGAGTCCGCACTGAGGGGCTGGGGGCTGGGTATGGGCGGCCACCCATGTCCACACAGCTTCTGGCTGACTCTCTGGGTGTGGGGTGTTGTGTGGGGCGGGATTGTATGAGCTTACCAGTGACAATCCTGATGGGGTTGTTGCTGGGTGTGTGTGTGCATCTGTGCACGTGCACAAATGTGTGTGTGCAGGTGTATGTGTGAGCGTGTACATTCATGTAAATGTGAGCATGTGGTGTGTGCAGATAGTGTCTACACAGATGATAAATGTTTCCATGTGTGTATGTAAGTGTGAGTGCATATGTGAGTCTGGGGTGTGCGTATCAGAGTGAGAGACCCACTTGGTTGGGCCTGAGGGTTTTGTGTGGATGGGGGTGGTGGTGTCAGACTTGGGGTGCCCTGTGTGCCCTGGGAGTTGATATTCTGGGGGAGCTGCCAGCCCCTCAACTCCAGGAATAAAACTTGGGGCCGCTTGTCCACTGAGTGCCTGGAAACTTTGGGGTCTTCACAGGGCTTTAGGAGCTGCCTGGGCCCCTCTGTGTCCCCCGGGGGCTGGAAGAAGCAGAGCAGCCCAGGTGGTCTGCATGCTCACAAGGATGCTCAGACTCTGGCCTGTGCACCCCAGATTCCCCCTCAAATTTTTCATTTCAGGCCACCCCACCTAGCACATCTGACAAAGAGCAGAAACCACACTTTAGAAAATACAGTCCCGATGTGATAAACATACCCCTCTAGTCTTCCCCCACTTTGTTACATGCCAGGTCTGTTTAAGGCCCACCTGCTCCACAGACCGAAGAGGCTAAAGCAATACGCTTTATGCACGTGTGTGAGAATGTTACGTGAAGGTGTAAATCTCTAATCACTGCATCTTTCCAGAAAGGATTTGCAGTGGTTTACAAGTCCAGCAGGAAAATTAAGTCATAAGGGAAACATGGACTGGAAGGAGGAGAGGGAGGCAGGGGGCTGGACAAAGGAGAGGGAGGCAGGGGGCTGGACAAAGGAGAGAGAGGGCAATATCGGGATGCCTGACTTGACTGCCTGAAGTTCCATGCTGTCCAGTGGGTTCTGACTTATAGTGAGCCGGTGTAGGGTTTCCAGGGAGTAGCTGGTGAACTTGAATTGCCCGATCTTGCAATTCAAACCTACCTTGTAGTCTAGTGCAGCATCATACCAGGCTGCCAATTTATTCCTGAGCTTCCTGGTGGCCACATCAAAGAGAGAAGCATGATTAGGTGTAAAATTCATGACTCAGAACCAGCCAGTTCCCAGGGAGCTAGCTGGTCCTGGTGTTTGGGGCTTAAAGGGGGTTTTCTTCCTGGGTGCTCTCTTATCAAAGGGTCCTCCTCACTGCCATGGGTGAGGTGGAGGCTCCGCCCCATGGAAAGTTAGGGGACTCTTGGTGTGGTCACAAGGAAGAATGCTAACCTGGAATGAGCCCTCAGCACAAAAGGACTTTGGGGAAGACTTGCTGGGTATTGGGAATTCAAGAGCGGAGACGTAGCTTGGTTTCTGGGACCACTGGGCTTGGGAAACCTTGCTCTAGCCCACTCCATTCCTCTTCTCTGATGGCCTGGCCTGCCCGATACAGACTGGGTCTCAGTTCCCCTGTCCAGCCCTTGGCCCCCCTGTGCACAGAGCTTGGGGTGAGCATCCTTCCAGCATCAAGATCCCCAGGGTGAGGGAGCCTGTCTTGGGTGTTCTCTGGTTGCTGAAACAAGTAGCACCAAGTGGGGGGCTTAAAACAGAGACACGGATGTCTTACAGTTCTGGAAGCTACAACTCCAGAGCCACAAAGCTTCGCTCCAAACCAAAGCCTTTACGAGACCTTGTCTCTTCGAGCTTCTGGTAGCCCCAGGCGTTCTTTGCCTAATGGCTGCCTAACTTCATTCTCTGCTTGCTTATTCTCCTTTGCTTAGTCTTCCTCTGAGTCTGTCAGTGTCTCCTCCTACTAAGACACTGGCCATATTGGGAGCAGAGCCCACCCTACACCTGTATGGCTTCATCTGCAGAGACCCCATTTCCCTGCATGTGACCGAGGGTGGTGTGTGTGTGTGGAACACAGTTTTATGGGTACCACAGAGCTGACTAACCCTGAATGGTGGTGGTGGGGCACCCTCTGGTGAGTAGGCAGAGGAGCCATCCCTGGGGAAGGGGGTGGCCCCTCAGGTGGACACTGACTGCTGTCCCCGTCCCGCCCCTGCAGTGTGGAAGGCGAGTACGTCCCGGTAGAAGGTGATGAGGTCACTTATAAGATGTGCTCCATCCCGCCCAAGAACGAGAAGCTGCAGGCTGTGGAGGTGGTCATCACTCACCTGGCACCGGGCACCAAGCACGAGACCTGGTCTGGGCACGTTGTCAGCTCCTAGGAGACGCCGGCGCCCCTTCTCCTGGGCTGGGGGAGGGGGCGGGGGAGCAGACATGGCTTTGCACAGCACGAAATGGGCCCAGAGAGCGAGCGGCTCGGCCCTCCCCATCCCGCTACTTTCTGGTGGAAAGGGATACTGGGACCAAGGCCAGGGAAGGAGGAGGGTGGTCTCAGCCACCAATACCACCACTGACCATCGTGACCACCTCTCACCATCTGAAAAGCATTAAAGGCATTTGCAAACAAGAGGTACCCCTCTGGTAGCCCAGCAGTGGGCCATCCCACGGGGGGACGTGTGAGTGGTCCTATGCTAGCAGCCCTGCTTCCTTCCCATCCCCCGGTGCTGACGTCTCAGAGACTCCAGGGCCGGTGCTACTTGTCTGATGCCTTTCCCATCCATGTGCTCCTGAGTGACCCCCCAGACCCTGGGGGTGCGGAGGGTACCTTTGGCTCATTTCTTGGCTCAGTTGGATTAAAGGGGGTTGGCTAGAAGGGGGGTCAGGATGTGTAAGTGGGGTCTTTACCTTTTAGTGCCTTTTTGCTGCGTTCAGTGACTGCTTTGGTTAGGGGTGATGGGTTGGGCATTGGTGGGAGGAGGGGGGGGTTCTCTGTTTCTGGTTGCTTCCCAATAGCCTGCTGAAGTCAAGTGCTGCAGACTGAGGACCCCTTTGTGTATACTCAGGCCTGGGTTACAAAATGTTTTCAGGATTTTTTTCCTCCCCTATAATAGCTGAGCCCCCCAGGGCGAGCTTTGTGCAGAGACCTTGGCAGATGGCTTCAGTAAACAAGGTCCTCGGGGTGCGTGTTTGGCGTCTGCTGTGATGTAAACATACAAGTAGCTGGGTGATGTCTCGAAATGTGTGACCCACTTGGGGTCAGGGGTCAGGAGTCCCCATGGCACTGTGAAGAAGGGGATGCTTGGGAATGTTCCGGGGTGTCGGGGAAAGGAAGGCTCTTTCCTTTGTGAATGTGTGTTCTTTCAGTCTTCAGTGCTGTCGTGTGGAAGGGGACGGAAGGCTGAAGCCTTCTGCTGCTGATGGTGGAGATGCTGTAAAATGAGCCAATCAGTTTGCAGGTTCTAGGCATTCAGACACAGACTATCACCACTGAGGCTCAGTCTGTGCCCCTCTACTTTTATGATCCTGGAAGGAGCACTCTTGGGGGCTCCAACTATTACATGCTCAGCTACTATTTTTAAGGTTGGTGGTTTGAGACCACCCAGAGGTACCTCAGAAGAAAGGCCTGGTGATCTGCGTCAGAAAGGTCATAGCTTTGAGCTTTGAAACCCCTAAGGATCTCTTCTCGGGAGCATTGTGGTTACAAATTGGGCTGCTAGCCTCAAGGTGAGCAGTTCGAAACTACCAGCCATTCTGTGGGAGAAAGATGAGGCTTTCTGCTCCTGTAACAATTTACAGCCTTGGAAACCCTGTACACGGTTGCTATGAGTTGAAACTGAGTCCACGGTATACTACCACCACCATGGAGCAGAGTTCTGCTATGATCCATGGGTTGGAAAGGACTGAGTAGAGCTGGCTGGTTGGTTTGGTGGCTGGCTTAAATGTTTGTCTTCTGCTGTTCAGAGCTGGCCTTTTCCAGTCCTAAGTTGTGCCCCTGTCAGTCAGGTGCTGGAAATCTGAATCTGCCGTTCCCAGGTGGACCAATAACATCATGATAAATGGAGAACGATTGAAGTTGTCAAGGACTTCAGTTTGCTTGGATCCAAGGTCAATAGTCAAAGCATACGTCAGGAATATTGCCTTAGGCAAACCTGCTGCACAAGACCTCTTTTAAAGCGTTAAGAGCAAAGATGTTAGTTTGAGGACTAAGATTATTTTCAGTCGCCTCATAATCTTGTGAAAGTTGGACAGTGAATAAGGGCGGTAACAGAATCCTTGCATTTAAGAGTTAGGGTGTTGGAGGACATTAAAGGGGCCATGGACTAGCAGAGGAAGTAACAAATCTGTGTTGCAAGTGCAGCTAGAATGCTCCTTAGAAGCCAGAATGGCGAGACATCATCTCTCATGCTTTAGATACATTAAGAGGAACCAGTCCCTGGAGGAGGACATTATGGTTGGTAAAGTGGAGGGTCACTGAGAAAGAGGAAGACCCTCCCCTCCCCAGTGAGACGGATTGGCACCGTGGCAGCGGCAATATTGTGAGAATGGCACAGGATGGACAGTGTCGTGTTCTGTCGTACACAGGTCCTCCCATTCAGTCAGCTCTGGCTCCACAGTGTCTTGAACTCCCTGGGTGCCCGCTTCCTTGTCGATGAGTCCTGGCTGAACTGCAGGGTGTTGGCACTGGGATTGCCCCGGGGAGCCGCACACAGCTCTTCACAGATGGGGACAACTTGAGACCGTGGAGCGGCCACACAGACAGATGGAGACAGAACCCAGGTTTCCCAAGCAAGTCCAGGACTTTCCCCTAACCCCCCCACTGGCCACCTTCCTCTGCAAATGGGGTCCCTTCGATGGGGGTCTCCATGGTTTTTGACACTTGCTGGTTTTCTCTGAGCTACAGTCAGGTCAGGGTGTTTACAGTGACAATGCTGATACAGCCTCTGCTTTCTGTCCTTTGGGTGTGCAGGTGAATAAGACAGTCACCCTACTCTCCATAGTTGTCTCAAGTGTAGCTAGCTGCCCCTCAGTCCTAGTCCAGACCACTCTGCAGGCAGTGCAAGGACCCCACCCACTGGCCCTGGAGCTGACAGAACCATGGGGTTTCCGAGACTGAGTGCTCTCAGAGCCGACTGGTGGGTTTGAACTGCTGAGTGCTTAGCCTTTGCTCCACCAGGGCTTTGAGAATCCAACATGTCTGTGCAGTGTGTTGCGTGTGTGCTAAGTGGGTTGCTCCCCGCCCCCTGGAGGGTTCATTTGTCAGATGAGCAGATGGAGCTAAGAGAGTGGGAGGTGGACCAGGGCTGACGGCCTTCCCACTTCCCAAGGAAGTCCTTTAAGTGACGTCTGCATAGGGGCCGGCAGTTACTGTAATGACGCACGTTTGGGAAAACTATGGCCGGCCTACCAGACAGATCTGTTTAGACAAAAGCGGTTCCAATTCAGCCCAGGTGGGAGGGATTGGCAAAGCCTGAGCAGGGGTGGGGACGGAAACGGCGGGACAGGGTGGGACGGCAGCCGTGGTCCCGACTGTGGTCTAACATCAGTTCCTGGGCTGGGGGGTGGAGGAGCCGGTGACAGGAAGTGATTCAAGTCTCCCTACACCTTACCTGCTTGAGCTACAGCACCCACCCACCCCCCTGCTGCCCTCGGCAGCTGGGGCAGGGCAGGTTGGCACCTGTGATGGGGTCTTTATCCTGAGAATGCTTGGACGTAGAGGAAGTGCTTTATTTCATAACAGGGTTGTAGGGCACCAACAAGGAGCACCTAGGAAGGGCTGGTCACCCACTTCCAAAAACCTGCCACTGAGCACCTTAGTAACTGGGTTTCATTTGGAGACAAGTCAAGTTTTCTTTAAGGCTCTGCTGTTTTCCTGGCTGGGGGGGGGGGGGGGGGGTCCAACCAAGGCAGTGCCCTGCTCTGGAGCCCTCAGTTGCCAAGTGGGGGCAACAGCTCCTGCTGACCGGGCTCCTGAGTGAGCCGTGCTGGACACTACTGGGCACCTTTTCAGTGCATTACCTAAATGAACTCATTTCTGCCGTGCATTTGGTGGGGACAGTACCCTACTTGATGGTAAACTGAGGCCAAGAGGAGCTGCTTGGAGTTGGCTGGGACTTGGGCCTCGCCTGCCTTGCTGCAGAGGAGTCTCAGATGGAACAGCCCCAAGTCCTGGGGGTGGGATGTGGATGAAGAGTAAGGAGAGGGGGCAGGGTGGTGAGGAAGACTGGCTTTTCTTGTTTGCAAACAAGATCTCCTGGGCTTCATTTTCTCTGGTGGGGGAAGCGCCTGGGGCACAGGATGCTGGAACTGTAGACTCAGTGGGGGGAGGGAGGGATTCCTGACCCAACAGCTTCCCCTCCCTCATCATTCCTCAGGGAGACACAACTGCAACCTAGCTGAAAATACATTTTAATTTGCTTGCTTTCTGGGAGGACCCTAAGTGTCATTTGCAGAATCAAACCTAGTCCCCTGCCCTGGGTCAGAGCAGAACAGAGCACAGATGTGGCACTGCCTCTGGACCCCTGGACAGGAGCGAACCAGCCTCCTTACAAACATCAAAAGGTGACCCAGGAACCGTTTGCTTGCAAGGGGATCCTTGCTACAGTGTTCTTGATGGGGCCTGTGGGAGGGGAGGGTGCCATGGTAATGGGCCGGGATCAAGACAGCAGTGCTCACTAACCGACCAGCGGATGAACATAGTCGTCCCCAAGTTGTCATGAATAGCCAGGGCCTGTACTCTGTACCAAAGAGAGGAATGCTGGGAGGCCCACTAGGCAAAAGGGAAAGGGCTTCTGGGAAGAAGGCAGTTGGCTGGTCACTGCAGGGCTTGGGGCAGATGGAGAAGAGTCAAGCTTGGGCTGGGCAAACCCAGCTGGGGACTGTCTCCTACACAGGAAACAGGGCTGGAACCAAGTAAGCACATGCCAAGTCGAATCCTGCTTCCTTGAGGCAGTGTGCAGGATGTGCTCCTGCCTTCAGGCCCCAAATGCCCTGTCCTTTCTCTCACTACCAAGTCCCCTGGGGTTCTAATGGAGGGGGCCCATACTTTCCCACAGGGGACAGTGGGGTGTGTGTGACCAGACTCGGCTGGGAGTGTGTGGTCTGAGATAATCCTCTAGTCAGCCCTGTCCCTGTCTGGACGGTGAGGTTCCCAATGTGGTGGGGACCAAGGCTGGCAGGGTGACCCCAAGGCTGGCCCCTCAGAAGAAGAGCCCCTTGCAGATCCGGCGAGTGTCCTCAGGTGTCGCCACAGTGTAGCCCACAGTCCGAGGGTCTGTGAAGATCTCGTGGTCATTTCCGCCCTGCAAAGACAGGAAATGCTTGTTAGGGCCACAGAAACCTGCCCGTTGCCTCTCCATTTACAGCGGCAGCAACAGCCCAGATAGCCCTCCTCACAAGTCTGTGAAGACACCTGCGATGGGGCCTGGGGCAGGTCACAGAGGAAGCCCGCCTTCACCGGAACAGCCCCATGCCTCTGAAGGAAACCCGAGGCAGCGGCTCCATGGGACATGGGCTGGGGAGGGAGGCAGAGCAGCAGTCAGGACAGATGTCACTTCTGAAGGAACAGGGCTCACACTGGGGTGGGGGTACTGCCAGGTCCTGAGGAACCACCAGTTCAGGAAGGAGTCATCAGCCCGACAATGACAACAGGAAGGGTGTGCCTGCCTTCCCAAGGGAACATCTGCACCCCCACACTTCCTTCCCACCCCTTCCTTCATGATTTCTGGGGGAGGGGGGCTGGCCAGAGGACCAGGCAGTTCAAATCCTGCATCTGTACCAACAGTCCTGGCTTCAGTTGGGAGGAGGACTCACCCACCAAGAAGAGAGGCGAGGGCAAGACCCACACCATTCTGCTCGACAGTTCCCACAGAACTGCCTCTCAGGGAACTTGGCTGTGAATATTTTCTGTCTGTATGACATAGTACCTGACAGGCAGTTCAGACCCACCAGCTGTTCCTGAAAACCCCTCCACAGGGCTGTTGTGAGTCAGAACTCCACACTTAACCAGGACCACAGGATGTGGGCAGCAGGGGGAGAAGGCTATGAGTCTACTGTGGGTCCACAAGAGAAGACAACCCCAAGTCCCTGCTCTAGGAGAGCCAGGTCTATCCTGCATGGGGCAGGGGAAGGGCCTGCTGTCCCATAGCATGGAGCTTGAGGGCCTCTTGCCTGTAGACATTGCGATCAATTTAAGGACTGCACCTCAAGGTTGGTGGGTTGAGCTCACTAACCATGCTGTGGGAAAATCCTGAGGTTTTCTCCAGCTAACATTTTTTAAAAAGCCTTGGAAACCCCATACACGGTCCCTATGAACTGAAGTGAAGGCACTCAACATCAATGGGGAGTAAAGACCCTGTCTGCAAAAGCCCACCCTGGCTGCAGACTCACAGCATTAAAAGGGCCAGGGTCAGAAACGTACCTTCTGACAGCCCTTCAGGAACCGCCCTGTTGTCATCACCTGTGTGCCCCAGCTGTGGCAGACCTCTGAAACTTCAGAGGAGGCTTGGAGGATAGAAAGTTATACCACAGAGATTGATGTCCTGTCCTGGGAGCAAGGTGGGACAGACCCAGTGTCACTGGAGGGGGCAGTGTACAATCTGAGTGTCCCCATAGATACAAGTACGGGAAATGTATTATGGCGGACATTGTGAAGATAGTTTTTAAATGTATTATGG